CAAGTCCACCAACTTTCTAAAACAGCAAAACGCAATACGGCCAGATCAAACGACATGCGAAATCCCAAAAGAACTTTCATGACGATTCCCCTTAAGTCAGCGGCTTCTGCCTCGGCTCTTCCGTCTATCAACGTCGGCCGGTACGTCAGCTCTTCGTCGGGTAGCTAATCGCGTCAGCTGTCTTAAATGAGCGCAACTCACTTCCCAATCTTCACACTTTGGAATTTGAACGCGAAGTTCCTCCCGAGATCCCGAAGGAGGAAAAGAACAAAAATTTTACGATGAACAAGATTCAGAATAAGGACGGGTCTGCACTACGCGATGTGCTTGCTCCAGACTCGACTATCCTCCTTAAAAGATTTCTGCATAATCTTTTAAGGTGGAAAAACACTCCATCTTCTTATTGAACCGAATTGTGCTGGCTTCAGCTCCTGCGCGTTTATCTCGATGCCGAGCGTGAATAATTATCGTCCCCCTCGAGGTTAGGTTATTCACAAAAGTGGCGATAGAAAAATTTTGCCCTCGAGTTTTGTGATATATTAGCGATGGCATTCGAATGAGACTCTCATACTTCGCAAGAGAAATAGAGATAAGCCGAAACAAAGGAATGCTTAATCTCACTTGAAATCAGATTTTTCAGACAAAGTCAATTCCCAACATAAGGTAAACCATAATTAGCTAAACTTCAAGAGAAGCGAATTTTAAAGTTGGGAAGCTTAAAATAGTTTACACCGCGAATCAAAAGTAGGGGAAAATCAAGCGAAATCCTCAAAATACGAAATTTGGATAATGAAAAGAAGCCTCAATCACACTTCAAAATTGTTGCCCTGTGAATGGGGAAAAGGTTTGCAAGAGTATACAAGAAAACAAGAATTTAAGAAAGGCAGCACGACTGCTTCGTCATCATGAGTCTACGATTCACTGTTTTCATCATCGGTTCAAGCTGCTCCCTTCGTTTAAGCCTTCTCCTTTCGAGGTGGCTCGCGAATGGTCCTCTTCCGAAGACACCAAAATGCATCGAGAGGACTGTTATACACAGAACTCAGCTCGATAACACCACGCCAGATTTCTAAACAAACAAAATCTCAAGGTAGAACTTAACTCTATATCGCGAGAGTTCAAGTTCATACAATTAAGGTTCGCCACCCATCTAGAGTTCCAAAACGTTTAAAAGTAGGAGGATAAATTCCTAAGCCCTGGTTTACATATCATTTTATTCATAAATCAGGCAACATAATCAATTTAACTTAATCAGGAATCTCATACCTGAGTTGGCGAGGCACGACGGAAGCGAGTGGTCATATACATATTATGCAAATAATTCACATAATTTGCACATACCAGTCTACAGAAATGCAGACTGGCTCTGATACCAAACTGTAACACCCCACTTGGATTTAAGAAATAATTCATGGCTTATTCAAAAATCAAGTTAACATTTACGAAATTCATTTTCAAAATCCATATCATTAGGGCATTATCTTGATTTCAATTCATATTTGAAACCTCACGGGAATTCATTACCCGGTTTTTCACATGGACTTCATTGTCCTAAAACCAACAGTTCACATGATATCCAAATAACACATTCGACATGAATATCCATTCATAGTTCAATAATACGAACCAAATCATACGTTCAAATCTAACATAATTCAAACGACAGGGTTCTAAATAAAATATCATGTTCATAACCCAAAAACAACTCAAGTTCGTCAATTCGGGTTAACTTATTCAAAATAATGCGGAAGCAAATAATGCAAATATGACCATCCACTTGCCATCCTGCCGTCATGCCCGCCTTGCTTAACCTGAAACGTGAATTTCAGGTGGGGATGAGCACAGTTGGAAAAAGTAGTGCTCACCGCTATGCAATAAATAATGTATTAAAGACAGTTAAGCATGGTCGCAGCATGAACACGAATCATTCAAATATCACATCTCCTAATCATAACATTTTACTCATGTGCACATCTATCATTAGCCATTGTAGGTCAAAACCGCACACAACAATGGGAGTAAATACCGAAGAGTGTACAACTCCCCTCGGCCTTGCCTATCATTAGGCTAGGGAGACTGCCTATCATTAGGCACCGTCGAAGGTCGAAACCGCACACGACGACGGGGATAACCGTTCGAAGGTCGAAACCGCACACATCGAAGGTTACAGGTTCACATGCATACATTGATCATACCATTCGACTTTCATAAAGAATTTAATGCATAGGAAATTTTGAATAACCCACCTGGATATAGCAAGAGGTATAGCCAAACACAGAGTTGAAGGAATTATGGCACAAGTTCAGCTCGACGAACCTACAACAATTATAATAGCCTATCACTGACTATCCAATATACAATACCACACAAGGCACATATACTTAGTCGAAATCATATCGACTAAGCGACTCGTGGATTTCTTGACCGAGTTAAGTACTTTGGAGTGACTACTAGACCTGAACAAAACTTATATACCTCAAATATTTCACATAAAACATGCCAACATTAAATAAATCCTAGCCGAACCTAACCAACCGATAACCGAACATTAAGACTTCAAAATAAACAAAATTCAGAATCAGGAGTTAGGCTCAGCCATTCAACTTGAAACTTTACCACATTATGATTCATATAAAAACACATAAACTCACCAAGTTTCAGCCCTAAATTCATCCGGGAACATTTTTAAATGATTTAAGCAAAAACAGCACCAAGAACAGCATTTAATAGTTCGTATAGCTACACTTCAAGTTTCAGTCTGAAACTTTTACACAACCTAAAAAATTATAAAATATCAGGTTCCTGAAAGTTTCAACTCAAAACTCCAAGTGTACGATTTTTAGTGAATTTTACAAGTTTCTGACCAGAACCCGTTTTAAGCATTTGAACATCAAAAACTCAAGGATAAAATCAGGATCTTGGCACATATATTCCACATAATCAGAGACACAACATATCAAAAATTCAACTCAAACGGATAACAACTTGATTTATGGTGAATTTATTACGATTCAGCAGCATGCTCGGTTTTGAAAAATCATAACTCCTTATATATTACTCGAAACGACCTCAAACCAAAACTAATAGATCAAGGACAACTCCAAGTACCTATAACTCAAGGATTTCCACAAAACTAACCACATATATTCAGTTTGAACAATAATTCAAAGAGACGGCAATCACTTTGATATCAAATTTGCAATTATACTTCAACATCCTTACAATTATTTATCTAACAATAATCCATTAACATATATTAGCACATATGGTTCGGATAACACGTGACACAAATACGTTCAGCAACTCACATAATCGAACACATAAAATATCACATAAATTTTAACGAGACGGGTTAAGCCTTGTACCGTTCTCGGGAATAAACGTTCGAACGAAACGAAGGTGAACGAACGGCACGCAAAGACGGCTCCAGGCTCGACGGCAAGCTTCGTCTCGCAGCAAGAAGGAGCAGCGGCGGCTCAATCGTCGGGAGCGGTTGCTGCGTTCGGGAATCACCGGAAAACGGGCCACTGAACTTCGCCGAAGGAACTCGCAGCAAACGGGAGAGGGGCAGCGAGGGCGGTGGTTGCTCGCAGAGGAGGAGCACGGTCAGGACTCGCCGAAAATTGAGTGATCGAGGGGGACGCTGCTTTGTTACGGGCCACAACCGATTGACGGAGAGATGACTGGCAGCGGAGGTGACGAACTCGCTTCTCGTCGTTGGTGCTAGTTCACGTGGAGGCTCGCGACGGAGCAGAATTTCGTCGCTGCTGCTGGGGTTGGGAAAGGCTGGTTCTCGACGGGAGGGAGTCGCCGGAATCCGTCGAGGTCGCCGCTCATGGATCGAGTTGCTGAGGGGGCTCGCGGTGGTGATGTTGCAGGCGGCAGAGGAGGGTGCTCGGAGATGGTGGGCGTCCGCGAGTGGCCAGCGAAGGGTGAAGGGTGGCTCGCCGCTGAGTTCCCGTGCGTGAAGGAGGACAGCGGCGGTGATCTCGTGAGGAAGAAGGACTCGCCGGTAGATGCTGTGCGAACAGGGGAGCGGTGGAAGTTGGTCGCCAGCGGCTATGAAGGTTCACCGGAGTTACAGTCGCGGTGGGGGAAGGGCTCGCCGGAAGGGTGACTGGCCGCAGAGGAGGGTCGCGGTGGTGTTACAGGAGGAGGTCGCCGGACCTCCTGAGACGAAGGCGGCGATGGCGAGAGGGAGATGGGAGGACGATGAGGATGGAGATGCTGCGATGATGGTGAAGGCGAAAAGGATGAGAGGGAGAGATGGGATTGCGAGGGTGAAGACGATGAGAGTTTTTGGGATCGGTTTTGATCTGTTCAAAACGCGTGGTGAGAGATACAGAGAAAAAGGCTGCGGCGCTACTGCTTTCTCAGGAAAAACGAACGGCAAAATATAATTATCTTAGGGTTATTTTCTTGCCCCACAAGACATACTTAACACACACGCGGGCCGAATTGGTTGGGCTCGGATTTGGGCCGAATTAACGGGCTCGCGAGTTCGGTTCAATGAAACGTATCGGCTCCTGGGCCCGACTACGTAGAAGTAATACAGATTTCTCGGGCTCCATAAATAAATTCGCAAAATTAAATAAACAATCCAAATATATAATATATATTGATAATACACAATTTAAATTTTAAGAATATAATAATAATATTAGTAAAAATACTAATACACACTTTAATTAATTAATAACATTTAGGCAATTAATTCAATATTTAGACAATTAAAAAATTTTACAAATAAATCATATTAGACAATTAATAATTTAGCATTCACCAAATAATAATAACCACAAATAAGATAAATAATAATAATAATAATAATAATAATAATAATAACAATAATAATAATAATAATAATAATTAATTCTCCAAAATTTCATAATTCAAACGGGGCATTACAATCGCCACTCATCTCACTCTCTCGCCCGATCTCGCCAACATAAAGGAAAAAGAGAAATCCCGCCCTTGTCTTTCTCTTTCTCCGCAGGCAGTCCGTCTTTGAGCCACTCCCGGCGAGTCCCTCCAGCCGGCGATCAGAACCACCGCGAGCAGGCCTCAATCCCGACGACGTGAAGTTCCTCCGGCAAGTTCTTCTTCTCTTCCGCGACGAGACGCTGTCCTTCCCTGCGAGTTCCTCCATTCGCGACCAACCGGCAGCCCTGCAACTCTGAGACCTCCTCCGCAAGTCACAGTGTGTCGCGGTCGCTACTCCCTCCACCGCGACCAGCAGGTCCCGACGGCTCTCTTTCCTTCGCGACATCAGCAACTCCGGCGATCCCTGTTCACGTGCAACAACTCAGGCGAGTTCTCTTCCCTCCGCGAGCAGCCCACGAGCAATTTTCGGTGAACCCCGTCCGCTCGCAACCCGTCGCCACGAACCAGAAGAGACGCGCTGATGAAGGATCGTGTGTTTTCCCAACTCGTTTGTCTCGAACTAAGCTTTTCCACGGCTTATCCTTCGACGATAGGTGTGGACGACTCGGTTATTAGCCTTATCTTCTCACTATTTTGAGATGGTTCGGGTCTTAGCCTTGCCAACTCGGTTTGTATGATAAAACTCTCACGAATTCTAAACACACGGTTTTGTTCTCACGAACGATTTTCCATTATTTTTCCCTCATAATTTTCGAATGATATATGTGGGTATTTATAGATACCAAATAGATCTAATCCTAGTCTAAGAAGAACTCATAATGCAAGTAAACAACTAAAGTCCTAAGGAAAGTAAATAAAGACTTACCAAATTAATAAACTCCTAATAGGATACTAATAGGCTCATGCCTTTTATTTGAACTCCTAACCAAACCAAGACTCCTAATTATGCTAAATAAATCACGTCCCAATTCTCTTGTTTGCCCCTCAAGTCGTCGCGCGCCCCAAACCCTAGCCGTCCGTGTCGCGCACCGCCTTGCTAGCCCTAGTCCTCCTTGCGTGCGGTAACGCGCGCGCGCGCTTCCCACGCGTCGCCATCCATGCGCGTTGCGCACCCTCGCCCCTTTGCCCGTGCGTGCTTTCCCATCGCGCGAGTGCCTCGCACGTCCACTCGTTTGGCCTCACTCTCTCGCTCGCTCATCGCATCGGACGCGTCCCATCCACGTGCGCGTGCGCTGCGCTCGCTCGCCTTGTCGACCTCGTCGACCGACTCCACTAGCGCCCCGCGCGTCGAGCCCTACTCGCCCTCACGCAATTTCACGCCTGTTCCCACTCGTGCGCCTACCTCATCGTAGTCGCCCCATGTGCATGCTAGCCGCCCTACATGCTCCCCTCGTGCACCATTGGCCTTAGCCGTCATGCGTTGCTTGCGCCGATCTCTCGCGCATGCTCTACACCATTCGCCCACTTTCCCTGGCACGATCTTCTCACTCTCATTGTCGGCCCAAGTCTCATGTTCATAGCCTCTTCGAGCTCTCTTAGCGCAGTATCGGTGGTTGTCGCGGGTCCTCGCGTGCTTCTTCCCATGGCTCATGCGCGTCTCGTCCTCGGGCTCGGATGGGTCGATGACCACATCCTCATCATTCCATCCACTTTTGAGTTTGACCTTGTCCTCAAGGAGAATGAATTGAAGACTCTTCAATTCGACCAGCTCGGTTCCTTCGTCACTCGTGCATAGCTTGATTCGTTTCTTGGCCTCCTTAAACTCCATAGTGCCTTTCTTAAAATTTGCAGTTACGGGCCCTAGTGTTTCCAACCATTGGACCCAAGTACCACATCTGGTCCTTCGAGTTCTAGCGTGAATAAGTCTGCCTTGAGCTCTTCTCCTTGTACTTGTATAGGCACTTCTTTGTATAGCTCCAAACTCCAGAGTTCTTCGCCATTTGCAACTCGTACTCCAAATGGTACGACCCCGGGCATTGGAATTTCGAGCCTTGTGGTGAAGCCCAAGTTAACAAAATTGAGAGTCGACCCACTATCGACCAACACATTAACCTTCCGTCCCATAATCTCGGCCTCGAACTTCATCATCTTCGGCCCTCTCTCCGCCTTTACCATGTGCAACATCTCCATTTACGGGTTCAAATACAAGTGCCCTCCATCCTCGCGTTCTTTCTCGGGCTCGCATGTGTCGAGTAGGTAAACTTCTTTACCTTTGCATCGGTGCCCGGGCGTGAACGGCTCATTGCACGAGAAGCATAAACCCTTCTCACGCCTCCTCTGCATCTCATCGGGACTTAGGCGCCGTATGTAATTCGGTGGTCGTGCTGTTAGAGTAGGGTACCCGACGTTCCAATCTGATTTGACGTATTCTACTTGTAAATACAGTCTATTGGAATTATATTATGAATAAGGCATTTCTTTATCTTAAGAGAAAGCATTTATCTTATAAATACACTTAAGATAAAATCCCTAGATCACTTATGGTTATAAGGTATGGTTGCGCATAGAGATGGTGATCATGGAACATACCTTGAAAGCCGTGATCTTAAATACAGTTCCAAGTCGATGGATGTTTCGAGATGGGATATCGAATAATCCATAAAAGACTTGCACATAGTTTGTATGCTTGTTGGACAAGAATGTTGCATTCCATCAACATTAGCGTAAGACGTAAGTACATTTATGTGGGTGCTTGTTAGAGAACAAGTTCACTGAACATGACCGTATGAAAATTCTTAATGAAGAATTTATTCAGTCGAATAAGAATTTTCATGTTACAATAGTACATGACTAATCCTAAGACTTGAGGCACAATGGTAACTTTGTGCATATTACATTCTACTTTGATTTATCCTTTTGGTAGCTAGCACTATCGTTTAAAGGGATAAGTTGGGTATTATGTTGATATGTATGGAAGTTTGTTAGTGGCCAATAAAGGATTCGACACTTATGAAGATAAGTGAATTTCCTATGTGTTTCATAGTTATTAATCCAAAGTCCTTGGCCAAGGCAGAGATGAATAGTGATTCATAACCGGGTTAATAAACATGAAATAGAATCATAGTTATTAAGTCAATTTGGGTTTCGACAAAATCATACCCAAGACTTAATCGGGAAATTAGATGTCGAAAGGATTTTACATGTATGGAGTTGTAATCGGAATAGGTTTACTCGCTATTCACTTAATACTAGATTCATGCTACTTGCTAGGTGTTACCATGATATGTGGGTTCATAAATTAAAGGGTTAATTCATGAATAAGAGTTAATAAGATTTAACTCAAATTACAAAGTGTTGTAAACCCACTACTAGTATTAAGGTGAACCTAAAAGGTCACACTAATTATGAACAAAGGTAAAGATTGTATTTCTAATGGTTAGAATTAATTGATAAATATCTAATTTGATTAGATATCAATTAAAGGAATATATTAATCAATAAGATTGATTAATTACATTTTGGATATTACTTTAGTAATTAAGGTAATTACTAAATTAATAAAGTTGAATTTTAAAATAGGATTTTAAATTTCAAAAATCCAAAATAATAATAATATGATTATTATAATATTGGGAAAATGATATAATAATAAAGTCTTGAGAAAGATTCTCAAGATTTATTATCCAATTATTATTTATATCTTTAAATATGATTTAAGGATTAAAATAATAAATATGATTATAATAAAATGGTTGTTGATGGTTGTTTGAACTACTTAACATATCTTATTATTTTCAAAGTCAAAAGTTAGTAAATACTATTTAAATAAAATTTGATTTTATTTAATATTACTAAATGTTGATTATTTTATGCTAAAATGTTTAGTATAAATATGTGCAAAATGGTTTTGCATTTAAGTGAAGTTTTTGATCCTAAATTTCTAAGTGTTAGAAAGAGAAGAAAGTGTTCTTCATAAAACTTCAAGAAAGAGTTCTTAAAATTCCCAAATAAAATTCATAAATATTCCTATACAAGAAAACCGAGTCTTTTCTACTAGCGAAGGAAAGTCGTCGGAACCGGGCTTCATAGGGTGGATACGTTTAGAGGGAAGACACTTGGATTCCTCTAGCGAGTAACCTCAAGTCGTTGAAGTTACAACCGGGAACCGATTCCCTCATCCATCATCAATAGTGAAGGAGTTCAAGACATTCGGTAAATATTTTTACTAGTATTTACTTTATAGTAACAAATCAAAATTTGTATATGATGCATGTTTTAAAGATGACGATCAGTTAATTCGCAATTAGTATGTACGGGTGTTGTATTTATACGATAAATACTTACTTTAAAAATTTTAAATTCCGCTGCGTACAGCCCGTACGGTACTATCGAACCCAACAGTGGTATCAGAGCCACGGTTATCGTCTTTAAAACAGATTTTGATTTGTTAAGACTTATGAGATAAGCAATATAATTAATTTTTTATATGATAAAAATATTAATTATAAAATTAAAAATCGTTTTTAAGCCACACGAGTCGTGTGACCTTGTCACACGAGTCGTGTGGCATGAAGAAAAATTTTGATTTTAGCTTCGTGATTTTCACACGAGTCGTGTGACCTTGTCACACGAGTCGTGTGAGCTCACACGAGTCGTGTGACGAGCCACACGAGTCGTGTGAGTCTGGGAAAAATTTTGATTTTCAATTCGTATTTTTCACACGAGTCGTGTGATAAGATCACACGGGTCGTGTGACCCTCACACGAGTCGTGTGACTCATAAATTGATATTTTATGTTCATTTCATTAGATGAATGTTTTAGGGATGATCATGAGCCTCATATTCATTATGTTTGAATGGATGTTTTCATTTTCAATATGATTGAATGAATGAATGGATGTTTAATTATGTTTTCAATATGATTGAAGAAATGTAATTTATCGAGACCTGCGAGTCTCTTGAGATGAAATTTGTAAAATTTTAAATTTTGTATCGTTAGAGATTAGATCAAGGTGGAGACCGTTCGATGACAAAGGCCCACGCATGTGTGGGTAATTTTACAAGTTGTAATCTCGAAGGCCTGTGCTTGTACGGGTAGATAGAATAAATGTAATAGAAGTAGTTCTACTATTTGTTTTATCACGTACATATGCATAGATCCATTTTGGCTCGAATGGATCGAATAGGAAAGGACATGATCATCCCACCATGCATTAGATGTATGTTAGGTTTATTTACGCTTTCGTTTCATTAGATGACTGAAACTGGTAAATAAACGTAAAGATGGTAATCGATGAGATCAAGGAACCCAAACGGATTAATTTGATTAATTCCATATCAAATCAATAATGGATAAAAATAAGTTGGAACTTATTAATCCAGGCCTTCCATCAAAAGTAGATGACATGAGATGCTACGATGTTTTATCATTGGCCACGAGTCGTG